GAAAGTTTTAATTCCCTGCTGGGTGCTAATTTCATCGAGTAAATTAATAAAATAAAATAAAAATCACAAAAAATACCTGACAGGAGAGATATTATTTTGTACCGGGTGTTCTTTTGAGCCCATGTCGTAACTTCAGGAGCGTGCTACTTGGATTATTTAGATCAAAAAGTTTTTACGAACAAGAAGTCTAAAGCCAGTGGCTTCCGAGATACAGAATGTTGAAATTAGACAAAATATGTCACATTTTTTTCAAATATCTTTCAAGACATTTTAGGTAGACTGGTTAATCTAGACTAGAACTTATGATTTAAGTAATAAATAGGATGTAACTGAATTTTTTAAGTACATGTTCAAGGTTATTTGAAGGTCAACTCTTGGTTTTTGATGGTAATACAATTTCTGACCCCGGATTATGAAAGAAGAAGGTTAATTTTTCATTTTTAAGATCATATGAAGGTCCCATCATCTTCTCGAATTTCTCTTGTTGGTATTTCGTCAGGATAGCGAGATATAAGCAAAATTACCCCAACAAAAGTTGCTTGGGTCATTGGGAATCACCATCTGGTGATCTTAAATCTGAACTTGAAAGCCATATTCAAGGTTATTCAAAATTAACTCTTGTTTTTTTGGTAATACCTCTTAATACCGTAAGATGGATCATCATACTTCCCCTTTAGGGGCAGTGTTACCATTTCCAGCATATTCTGGACCAAATTCTCGAATAAGAAGTCTATAGTTGCCATTTTTATGGCATCAAAATCATGTAAACAGATCTCAACAGTGATTTTTGTCAAGATGGCTTTCAAGGGCAAGTCCAAGGTCACCACTTGGTGATCCCCAAAGACCCAAACACCTTCCATAGGGGTTATTTTCCTGATATCTTGTTATACTGACGAGATACCAGCCTGAGAAGGTCGAGAGGGGTATTCGACCTTCGCATGACCTTGAAAATAAAAAATAACAACCACGACTATGAACGTAAAATTTCTCGCCTTATACAGGGTGAGTCATTAATAATGGTACACAGCTTAATAGCAGTTTGCTAATGTCAAAATATAGCGATTGAGTCGGACATGCCTTAATCAATTGTTGCTCCATTTCGTTCTACAGGATGTTAAAGTTGAAAAAATATTTTTGGTTTTTTGCTATATTTTAAGAATGTATGGACCGATTGTTTTGAAAATTTGTAGTTTTACGTTTTTTGAGGTGGTAAATACGAATATAACAGCGTTGAGGTCACGTCTAGGGGGCGCTAGTTATACTGTCCTATCATTGTAAAAATATGTCTTAACTTTTTGTATTTTACGATTTTGAATTTCTTAACTAGAAATTGTGTACCATTATTAATGACTCACCCTGTATACTATCAAAAGACAACCGTTGACCTTCAATTAACATTGAACATGACCTTATAAATTAAACATGTATTCAAACATAAAATTTCTCGCTCTCTCAAAATATGTACTTGGACAAAAATTATATTACCAAAAAAAATTGACCAACTTTTAAAAAATAACTTATATCCGGAAACTCACCGTTTTAGAACTGCAGCCATTTCAATGTTAAAATTAAAAATTTTTGTCAGTAATACTTGTACGCCAAAAATGTTTTTGTGACCATCTTAGTTTTTGTTGGTGGTTGGCTGTGACCCTTTTGACCAGTCACGAGACTAGTAGCGCAGCCGCCAGGTTTACTGGACTTAACTCCCATAGATTTTTTTATGACGCCACATGAAGAGTCTGGTTTACGAGACGCCTATCGTGTCTGAAGAAAAGAAAATCCAAATACGCGACATTTTCGAGTATACCGAAATATGATTCAGACACATCAGATACATCGAAGTTGGTGATGTCATAATCTGCAATTATGGTAGTATTTCACATTGAAATAAACTTATAATGCATATAAATCGCTATTATAAGCACCGCTTCTAAGTCTCTGATCATAACCCGAAAACAGTGAGTTTCCTACAAGCCCTATAAATAACCAACGAGTATTCATCAACACCCTATATCTAAATTGGCTCGTAGACTAGGATTACACTATCCCAAAGCTGTTAAAAATGAATTAACAACTATACAACATTATGTATAAATGTGTACTAACAACAGTTATATGAATAAAATTTTATATAGGTCGTGTACATACGTCTACACAGATCGATTATTGTGAATACATTATTAAATGATGAAGAGAATAATTGACATTTATTATTATTCAATCGCATGCGGTTAAAACCAATTAAGAACACATGTTCACATCGATAGCTTCCACTCTTTGAAAATGGATCACTGGTTGATACTAAAATAATTCATAAGTACAGGAAATCGGTAAATACTTCGGATGTAAAGGTAGGGATGGCAGACGCAGGAGGTGGACGTAAATAGTGAATAGTGTAATGAAGATATTGTCGTGGAATCACAAGAATGGGCTGTTCAGCTAGTTGCGAATTTCAATTAGTTCCTTGGATTTGCCAATCTTATGATCTTTCGACATGCTTGTAGCTGGTTTCAGGATAATTGTCCACGCTTTAATTTGAGTCCAAAAACGCAATTGGGCATTTTACTTGCTTTTGAATTCAATGAGTTGGTTTTAGAGGGTTTCACCTGGGTTCGTCCGGTAGGGTATTCGACTGTCGATGGCTTGGGTGGACGTTCGTTCACAGGCAAGGGCATGTCCGCTCGTGGTTCTACTGGCATTTTTTTCGGAATTTTTAAAATCCACTCGAGGCCTATGTATCATAGTTTCTGTGGCGCATCTTCTAAAGATGCTTATTCATTTAATTTTTTCTTGAATGTATATAAAATAAGATAATGTTTAAAATCATGTGGGTATAAGAGCAGGAAAGCAAAACCTAGGCAATTAATTTGAATAAAGAAAGCTTTGCGTTGCAGTATGTTTTTTTGCTTTCAAAACAAAAGCAGAATTCGGTTAAATCAATTTCCCGATACACATTTAATCATTGTGACCTTTAAAATTCCACACTTTCTACATTCTGCGCTTTAACCTTGGAAAGTTCTCTTCCTTGAAAAACTTTTCCAAATGTCGCCTTACTCTTGACCGACGACATTGTTTAGTACTTCGGAAAAGAAATTTTATAGGAAACTTTTTAAATTTGCTCAGTATTAAATTATTATATAATTTGAAGGATTGCTTAAATCTAATTTCAAAGAATAATTAGAGGAAAATTTTTTTTTCAAAAGTAAAATGCTAAGAGAGTTCAAAGATTAACTTAGGCCTATCTAAGAAAAATACAATCGTAGTTAAAAAAAGCTGCTGCATGTATGTATTTCAAAGTCATTGAAAGAAATAATAAATATAAATATAAATTCTAATTAATATGTACATATTAACATTAAATAGGATAACACAAATAAACAAATGGAATTTGCTAAGCAAATTACTATTGCAAGGTACATTCATAGATTTAAGAGAATGAATGCCTTCCTTCGACCGTAAAAATTAGTTTTTTGGATTAACATGTTCGTGTAGAGAATTAGAATACCTTTCAAACGATGTGTCACTTATCTCTCGTTCTCTATTATTAAGATTTTTGGGGGGTTGCTCCCTTCCCTAGAGGGGTAGAGTCTGTAACAAGAAATTTATTTGAAACCATGTCCCCCTTTGACCAAAAATCGACCTGTTTCGCTGGGACACCCTGTATAACTACGTACCTATACGGTTCGTGGCTACAAAATCATCTACAAACATATTTTACGCCATTGGATCTGTGATTGAAAACGTTATCTGAAATACATAATTAAATCAGGTTTGTTTAAAATTTATTACGTTCGCCGTTAAATTGGAATTTTAACAAATGAATAACGACGGTTAGGTGTATATTTGTAAAATCCTTGCAATATTTATAGATAACTTTTTTAAACAGTAGTTTTATATTGTATTTTCATTGATAGGTGGGTGACAATCGAAAAAAAAATGCATTAGTAACGATGTAATAAAAAAATTATCTAATCCAAAACTATTACAAATTCAAAAGTTTTACAAGAGGGAACATAAGGAATTCTTCACCTTTAAGTAAAAAAAATAGAAGCTATAATATGACGTCTGACAAAATTTATGAGCAGATTAGTCCAAGAGGGGGTATTTTTCACAATTACTTCGTTTACTATGACATTAAGTGTATATGAAAGTATTAATGTACCAAATTTTCATAAAATCTTATAAGGCGTTTCAAAGTTATTTGCGAACAGAAAAAAACGTCAACTCTCTTGCTATATTTATTTTGATATCAGGAAACTGCGGTAGATCCATATACAAGGAATATTGGAACACCCCGTATATAAAAAACACTAAGGTCGGCGAGGTACGATATTAAGGAAAGTATAAGGCCTAGAACTTCGGAGAATAAAATTCGAATAATAAATCAACAACAGAAAACCCTGGAAATAATTTTCAAGTTCGTAGTTCGGCGCCAATAAATAAACACTTTCGTTAGAAATTTGAAACTTATACTATATTCGTCAATTTTTCGTGTTGAATTCATTTACGTAAAGAAAACTATAGCATTGCATTTATCATTTTTGAGAAAAATCCATAAAACTGCATTCTTCTGAAATAACGCCATCTATAGGTTTCCATATTGAGGTAAATGATATTACGCATTCACCACGAGATAAAGCATGAAAAGACCTTTCCAACGAGGTATAACACTGTGGGCTTTTGATGAGCTAATCCTTAAAAAAATACATTTTTTTGATCAGACATTAGGGGTTTCCCTCACCCTTCCTGTCCAGAGATAGAACAAAATGTCATTAACAAAAGTTATACGCAATGAATCCGGCTACCAACTTGAAAACTATTTCCAGCGATTTCCCTTGGTCGATTTATTCATCAAAATTTTTTTTCTCGAAGCTCTACGGCCTATACTTTCTCTAATATCGTACCTCGCCGACCTTAGTGGGACACCCTGTATATAATTTTGATTGTCGCCTGTGAAAAGATAACTTCGCCTTTGATTAATGACATCTCTATCGTTACAGACGGCGTCGTGGATCTGGTCCTAGGCGCCGATTTGTACTCTGAATCGCAAGGAGTGATCAGAATTTTAGGCCGATGTTGGAACAACACCGAGGAACGCGAGCCCGGCAGGTCCGACTGGGCATATCGGTGGAGCGACCAAGCCCGCGTCTCCCTGAGCACACGAGACTACTTTCCAAGGGGTTTTCCCACGGATTTTTCGCTGCTTGCCGTCGCCAGACCCACACCAGGTAAAGTACGCGTAGAGGGTGGACAAATTTGACAGTAAGCTCATTTAGTATACAGGGTGAGGTATAATTAGGTGTAAATAAATTAGCCTCTGACTAATATTGGAAATAATCTGTTTTTTTTAGATTTAGCTTTGATTTTTCTACAAAAAAAGAACATATTTTCAGTAAAATACTTCAGTAAAAAGTAATATGGATTTACCAAACAATTAATCGAATAATACCTCGCTATTAAAATGATGTCTTAAAACAATATGGGCTGATAAAATTGTGTATATTGAATTATTGAAAAATTAAATTTAAAAAAGTACCGGAAAATAAACAATATTAGAATTAAAGAACTATAGCAAACGTTCGAAGTGTCCATCTTCAGGCACAGTACAGACATGACACCTAATTATGACTCACTGTATAATATCTATCCTCTAGTTAATATTCATTCAAATTTTAATGTAAACATCTGTCGTTTCATTTTAGTCCAGGCGGTATCTGTCTTACAAAGAGTGCACTTGGGTAAAACACATATGATCGGAGATTTTTGCTTTAAAGGCTTCTAAATAACATCAGAAATGATAATTTTTCTAGCAAATAAAAAAAAAACGTGGGCTCAATTGTTATTACAAAAAAGTATAAAAAAATAACAAAAAAATCATTTTTTTCTTGGATTTCTCGTCGACAACTTAGCAACTATTCGTTTTAGACAAAAATGGAAGAGGAAAAAAAGTTTTGTAATTAAATTCTGAACAAGATAGAGTTAGTTGCAATTCGAAAAAATAATTATTGTTGTTGCAAAAATCGGAAAAATCATTTAAAAAATTGCAAAAAATGCTAGTTTATTTGTCAATTTTTTTCAGACACTTGAATAATACCTATGATCTTCATACTTTTCCCAATTAAACTTCTTAGTACATAGAATCATCACACCAAATTTCATCCAATTCGGTTCGATAGTTTTTACATAATAATTGTTTAATTTTTTT